CCGGAGCCTCTCACTCCAGCGCCTATTCTCTACCCCAAAGGGGAATCCTGGGTGAACAGGTCCCCGCTTTCCTTCTTTCTTGGGCAATATTGTCTGCAGAGTCAGCCACTGAAGTCCAGCTCAGCATCCAGCCTGCGCTGGTGGTTGCTCTGGTAGTGCCGTTGCTGGATTAATGCACAAAAAATACCTGGGAGCCACCTTGAACAGACTGCCCGTGAGAGCTGGACCCTCCCCAGCCCTGGTGGTGAGGGAAGTGGGCAGACGTGGCCACGCTGATGGAAAGTGACAGGGTGCCCCTGGGGGGTTGCCACCCAGTTCCTAATCTGTAAGTGAATTCACTTCCCCAATTTCTTCTTGTTTCTGTGGGGGCAATGCTTCAAGTTCCAATTCCCATGTTATATAGGGAAGCTAGGGCTGGCACGATGGCTCATGCCTGTAATCCTAGGACAGAGGATAAAGCAGGAGGATCGTTTGAGACCAGAAGTTTGAGACCAGCCTGAGCAAGAATGAGACCCCGCCTCTACAAAAATAGAAAAATTAGCCGGGCATGGTGGCGCATGCCTGTAGTCCCAGCTGCTTGGAAGGCTAAGGCAAGAGGATCGCTTGAGCCCAGAGGTTTGAGGTTGCAGTGAGCTATGATGATGTCACAGCATTCTAGCCTGGGTAACAGAGCAAGATGCTGTCTCAAAAAAAAAGAAAGAAAGAAAGAAAAGAAAAAGACAAAAATGTTCTCAGGTTAGTCCATACCATAAAACCCTGTTTATTCATATGAATTTCAGTAGACTTCCCATGACAAAAGTAGAAAACAGTATTGCAAGATGATAATTTAAATAAAAGAAGGAAACAAAATGGAGCAGAAGCAGTTCTTTATTTTGGTGAATTAGGAACATTAGGTTTGGTTAGAGAAGGATAAGGAGGCAGATGGCGCTCGCTGCCGAACATCTGAAGGAGACGTTTGGGCATGTGAAGGCTTATGGGCAGACCCTTGACTGTATTCAGTAAGTTTTGGACTCAAAGGAGGTGCTCCTACATGTTCAGCCATCTCTGAGGAGGCAAAATCAGCAGGTCAGCCTGGGCCACCAAGCCCGGTGGACAGAAGGAGCACTGAAACAGGAGTCTGAAGACTTTGGTTTCCATTCCATATTTGGGTAAGTTGTCTTACTTTCTCTGGGCCTCATTTTCTTCTTTTATAAAGTGGGAATCAAATGTGATAATGAAAGTGCTCTTTATGTATTATAAGGCACTCTGGAATGGTAAGATACTGGGCTTGGATCCCTAGTCTTTATAGTTTCATTCAAAACTTTCTCTTTTTTCCTTTCTTTTTCCTCCATAGAGATGTATCTCTAGCCAGGTCAAAATGTATTTGCTGTGAATATCCACCAACGGGATTATTATGGATCACAAATGGAAGCAAGAGAAAAGGAAGAGTGAGAAAGCAAGGTCAGTGAAGGTCAAGGAGACTCTGTGTGCAGTTCAGAGAGGGTTTCCCTGGAGAGGATGTGATTAGCCGCAGGCAGGGGCGGGGAGGGGCGGGGAGGGGCAGGTCATGCCGGCGGCGTGTGCGCTCACCTTCCACGGCACGCTCCCAACTCGCTCCCCTTCCTCCAGATGTGCTAAAAGAGAAAGAGGACTTATGCTCAAATAAATTTGGGAAAACTCCGAGTTAAGTGGAGTTAAGTAAATTTCTTTATTGTAGTACCTGTTAGAACCTTTAATGTGACACATGCATTGAGGGGCTCAAGGGGTGAAGTGGGGACGTTATAGTACACAGAGTTTTGCAAACTTATTTGACCATATGGTTTCTTTTGTTGTTCTGAGTATCTAGATAATGTCTCTCAAGGTGTGGTTCAGGGACCACCTGCATTTACCTAGAATGCCTCACACTAGAGCAGGTTGTCTGGCATCACCCCGACTTAATAATCAGCCAGAAGGGCAGGCAGGGACTGGGAACCTGAATTTATAAGAAACACCCAGTGATTATTTTTTCCAATCAACACATTTATTTAGCATATGGTATGTGCCAGCCTTCATGGTAGATATTAGAAGATATAGCAGAGAATAGTTCAGTTATAATTCTAGCCTCATGAAGGCTAATTCTAGTGGGGGAGGAATGGGGGTGGGGTCCTGGGGGTACGAGGAGCATGCAGTCACAGTAGGGTGTGACTTGCCGTGACGGGGAGACTCGGTGGTTCGGGAAGCTTTACCATAGGCAATGATGCTAAATACAGAACATTTCACCAAAAATATGTTTGTAACAACAATTAAGACTTAGGATTATGGAAATGCCCCATATATGGAATGAATGTGGCATTCCAGACCTTGACAGATTTGTGAATGTCACATAAAACCCAGTGCCTCTTTTGCACATTCAGTTTGAGAACAAGTGAACTAGTTGGACTGATGTTCTAAGGCAGAGGTTCCCAACCTTTTTGGCCCCAGGGACTGGTTTCATGGAAGACAATTTTTCCAGGGTGGACAGGGAAGGGAAGGGAAGGGAAGGCGGGGTGGGGAGGCGGGGCCCAGGGTATGATGTGAGCAATGGGGAGCGGCTACAAATACAGGTGAGGCTTCGCTCACTCTCCGCCGTTCACCTCCTGCTGTGTAGCCTGGTTCCTAAGTTTCATGGAAGATAATTTTTCTGCAGAAGGTTGGGGGGAGATGGCCATGGACTGTGGTCCATAGCCTAGGGGTTGGGAACCACAGTTCTAAGTGAGACATTGTTGTATAGTGGAAAATGTGTTGCCTTAGATTCTTTCCTGATTTGGCCACCAGTTGGCACCATCATACCAGGATGGCTTGGTTGAGGGTATAGGTGAGACAAGTAATTAAGCAACCTTGCCTGTTGCATGCTGCAAATTGGAAGATCTTAATTGGTGGAGTATCAGTAATCCTGCAGATAATGCAGTGTGCGGTGAAATTAGGGAACACATTACAGCAACAGGAATAGAAAATGCAAATTATTTTCATTCTCCATCTCATTTGACCTGTCTGCATCACTTGCTCTATGGACTGCTGCTTTCTTCTTGAAAGTTTCTTCTTCTTTGCCTCCCAGGACACAGCTCCCTCGTGATTTCCTTCCACCCTTAATAGCAACTAACAGCTCTAAGGCGCTTCTGAGCCAGGCTCTATACAGCGCCGCATTTACTCCTCTCGTTCCTGTGAGGCCGGCACTCTCACTAGCTGCACTTCATAGGCGAGTCTTTACGGAGAGATTCAGTCATGGCCCAAATCACTTAACTAGCGAGAGCTGGAGTTAACATCAGGATCGGGACAACCCTCGTCCTGAGTCCCAGCCCACTGTGGCCCCAGAGAGTCTGATGGTTTCTGAATGGTCCTCACCCGGCTGTACCGGGTGTCACTACTCCAGGGCACCCTTGCACCTTGTGGATGTGCAAATGGTGCCTTCCTTCCTTGTTTCTCCCTGTGCAAATCTCTAGACAGCTCCTGGGTGATCTCTCCCGGCCTGTCTGGAAGCCAGCCTGGGAGCCTCCCTCTAAGGGAATCGTGATGGTCTATTTGCTTGTCTGTTCTACCAGCCAGGCTGAGCCCTCCAGGGCAACTTGGCATCTCTGGCACCTAGTGTGCTTGGCACATAATAAACAGTCGAGAATGTGAGTGAAATAAGTAGCCCCAAGGCGCTGGGTGGGCATGTGCGTGGCCATTCCTGAATGAAGTGTACCGTACGGCTCTGCCCACAGGAGTGTTTGAAAACATCTCCTTAAACCCAGTAGAGACAGAAAGCTGCTTGAAGGGATTCTTTTTTCATGCTTGTAATCCTGTGACCCTGAATTTGGGGATAATACTAAGGTCAGAGGGCAAGGGGCCAGCACAGAGTGCTCCGGTGAATTAAGAATGCCGATGGAATGACGGCCTGCCCAAATCCGCGTTCACACCCACGGCCAGGGCTGAGCCAGGCAGGAGGCTCTTGGAGCCGGCAACCCCGCAGGAGTGCAGCAGCCGCTGCCCCGCCTCCCCGACCGGGGCTTCTGGGCAACACTTCCTCCTCTGCACTGGAAAGTTCTGGAATGTCCTGGATGGACAGCGAGTTGTCTCTAGTCGTGAGTGTGTGGCGATTCCTGTGTGGTGACCGCCTTAGGGGAGACAAGGCGGGGGTGAGCCTGTGCTACAGACTCTCCGCCCCAGGCCCTCCTCGGAGTGCAGTCGGCCGGGGTTTTGCCGATGCGTTTGACCTCTCCCTCCACAAGCTGACAGACCGTGCTGTCCAGGATGCAGCCACCGGCCCCACGTGGCCTTGGAGCACTTGAGACATGGCTGGCATGACCGAGCTAGTGGACCTCTAATTTTGTTTGATTTTAAAGAATTTTAAGTAGCCGTATGTGGCTAATGGGACCGAACTGCACAGGGTAGCTGCAGAACGTCTCCACCATTCCTGGTTCCACCCAACGGCCCTGCTCTAGATGGTTTCTGCTTCAATGGCAAGCTAGCGTCATCGAGAGAGGAGTCAGGAGGGCCTGGATTCAAGTCCTAACCAAGGGGGCGCCCTGGCCAGCTGGGACAGGAGGCACGCTTTCCTGCGCGCACACAGACGCACACGCGTCTCCACCCCGAGTGGCTGCTATAGGGATTTCTGATCCCTCCTTTCCCAACTCTGTTTACCCCAGAGGCCTGTTTTTTCTTAGGTTTTTGCTGTTTCCCTCTTCCTTTAGATGACATCGACTTCGCTCGGCTGCACTGGAGGGAAAGTCCTCTGTGGTGCCGAGGAACACCGGTGTGCCCTTCTGCAGCTGGCACCTCTGGGGGACATCAGCCTCCGAGGTGGCCTCTTACCAACACGGGCGAGACAGCCACATTCCTGGTCCTCTGACCCGCGACTCCACCAGCGGGAAGGACGTGCCGCGGAGGGCTGGGCCTCTGCGTGCCCGCAGTCCCTGCGCCCACCCCTCCTGAGCCACGTCTGAGCGAGGGTCGTGCATGCCCTCATGTTAAGAAAGTAACTGACTCCAGCAAGTAAGGCATCGGCATGGCTTTTAATTTTCAAAGTTTTTTATTTAAATAAGTTTTTCTTTTGTGTGTGTTTGGATTTTACAAAAGAAAAAATATTGACAAATACTATACAGCTTGGACCATTTATAGTCTTGAAGAGGTGACAGCCCTTTCCCTACATTCCCCCCCCCCCACTCCGGAATGAAGACTGTGGCCCCGCTGGGCACGGGGAGACCTCCTCTGAGCGTCGGCCAGTCCGGCGTACGTGCTCTGAAGTCCGGGCCTGGGGCCTCCCCCCGAGCCTGTGCTGGTCTAGGAAGCCTCTTCTTGAAGAGAAACCTCCCCAGATGAGTGAAGCAGGCTCCAGCCCTGAGGTCCCACTGGCTGCCAGTGGCAGTTCTGGGACAGGAGCTGGGAAGGAGTGAGAATGGAGAAGAGTAAAGAGTCAAGCACTGTGGGCCGGGGAGGAGAGGGAGTAAGAGAAGCATAGAACATGGAGAGAAAGACGAGAATAAAGTGGGGAAAAGAGCGTGGACACCAGCAATTGCCTTGGGATCCCTTCAACCAACAGAGATTTGACGGCCTGCTGTGTACCTGGCACTGTTCTAGGTACTCGGGTAAAGGTCATCAGGGGAGGCTGGGGTGGGGGACAGGCAGGCCCCATTCAGGGTTGGGGTCTTCTGGGTCCTAGGCCCTGGGAGCAACTGAGAAGTGAGTCTCTGGGTGTTTGTGCAAGTCCGCGTGAGGAGGCAGCGGGCGCTGTGCCTGGAGACGGGGCCTTGCGGTGGCAACGATGACTGACTGCTGTCTTAATTCAAAGGAACGACCAGTTGCCATGGAAACCATGTTACTTGTCTGGTCCCTGATCCTGGTGGTCCACTCTCCTAGATCACATCTGACACTCTGTCGCTGAGATGACAGCTGATGTCAGCCTCCACGTTTCCCCATGTCGTCCAGTTTAGGGGGACTCAGAGGTGGAGACAGGAAGGGTAGCTCGTCCTGGTGGGCAGCGGGAGAAATGGTGGGCACCTAGTCATTGTGTGATGTGAAGGGGACAGCCAGAGGCTCCATGACAAGCTCTCCACATGACAAGGGAACAGAGAATCAGAAAATTAAAGGGGTTATGAGTAGGGGTGCTGAGTGCCCAGGCAGTTTATGGCCGCATAGGGTGATAATGACTGGCTCTAAAATGTGTGGGGGTCTGAACTATGAATCCCAGGGTCACCTGTCAGACAACCCTGGCACGGGAGTCACCACTAGATGCCCACCCTCCACAGGCCTGGAGTACACCTGGAGGGCAGGTGAGTACCAGGTGAGCCCAAGTGAGCAAATAAACTACATTTTTCCATTAAAACAATCTTATAAAACTTTGGTTCTCACTACTATAAATATAATAGTTTAGCTACATCATTAATTAGACAGTGATTTTGCCACTGTTTAGAACAGCTTCCCTGGGGAAATATTTCAGGAGAACTTCCCAGTAGATTTGCAAATGAACTCTTACAGCACAGCCTGATCCCAAGTTGAGAATTGTCCATCTCTGTAATATGGTCACAATACAATCAAAATACCAACCAGTGCATCCTACAAGTGGATTCACTCTGCCTCCCACCCTCAGCCCAGGTGGGGGAAGCTTTTCCCAACTCACTGCGGATCTAGTCTTTGCGTCCGCAGGTGCCGAGGGCACGCGTGTCACCTTGACCATTGGTTCTTCCTGTACGCGCTGGCAGCATTCAACTTAATCTCAACCACTCCGCAGTCAGCAAGCTTACTTAGAAGAGAAGGTCACTTGAGGAGAGCTGGTGAGGTTTGAGTTTACCCTTAATATCACCGCATATCCAGGGCGACCACAGACAGTTATGAGTACCTACTGTGTGCAAGGCACTTGCCTGAGCTTCAAGATAAGTGTCAATAAACCTGGCTATAGTTTCATCCTATTTTCATTTAAGCTCTGTTACTTCTGCATCCCTTCTGCAACATACCATGCACCTATTGCGGTCCTGCGAAATCGTTCCCAGCGTGCCTTCTGTGAGACTGTGCGGTGATTGTCGCAATCCTTCCCTGCCAGAAACCTCCGGTTACATAGGGTACACGGGAGACAGCGGCTCAGGTGAGCCTCTCCTTGTCCTTTCCATCTGTAGCACACAGTGCGCAGGTACAACACTGCAGTACACTGACGCGAATGAGCGGGTTTCCATAGCTTTCTAGCAGCCACTACCGAAAGCTGTTTGTTTTTGCTTGGAGAAGGGCATCTTGCTGAGTGGTTTTGGGGGTAGCATCTCAAAAAGAGGTCTTGGGCCACATCAAACACCTATCAGTGGTCATGAGGACCTTGTCGTGAGTTATGAGAAAAGAGCTTTCAATCAATTTTGATCCATCACACTTTAAATGTTTCAGCACAGGTGAGGGGTCAGAAGCACGGGAACTTGGCGTGTCCGTATCAACATACACAGGGTGGGGGATGTACTCGGTTGCTGGAATATCCAGTTGCGAGCATTTCCAGTAAAAGGGTATGTAGAGACAGACACAGGAAAGGACACACCTCTAACCTGAGTGGTGTAAGGAATAGGCAGTGCGTAAGGCCTCGTCTGGTTATATACTTGTACTACATATGCTTGAATCTGGCCAGGCCTTCCCATGAGATATTTTTTGCAACTGTAGATAATATACTTCCTCGCACAAAGTACACATCCAATGACCATTTGATGAACAGAATGTACTTGCCCGTGTACCTGTTGCCTGAATTTGTGTGTGTGTGTGTGTGTGTGGTGTGAGTGGCGTGCACACTTGGGAGCCCTATGATGTCTGGATACATGTTCTCTGTGCTTTTGCACATGGCTGTGCTGGAGCTAGGTGGAAGGTGCCGGGTCTGTGGTGAGAGCACCGCTATGGGACACGCAGCTACCCAGACAGTGCCCACGGATCGTCCACGTGCTCCCTGGGAGTGCCCTAAGCCGGGACTTGGAGTCTGAGGTTTGTTCCTTGGTTGAGTAGTTACTCTGTGCACATGAGTGTCATTTCAGGGATTCCTGCTTCTTAGTCTGTGTGTGGTTGCAAGAGGCTTAGCCCCAGCGAGGGGACACTCTGCCTAACTAGACGGGCAGTGATGGCCTCTTCTCCAGCTGGAGAAGCTTGGGCTGAGCAGAGATCCAGAGGTCTTCTTCACCCTTCTTCTTCTTCTTCCTCTTGTTTCGCTCTGGCTGTTGGCCGCTCTTGCCCCGCCGGCTCCAGCAGCAGTGGCAGCAGATGAAGACGAGGGTGACAATCACCAATAGTGGCAGCCCCAGGAGGACCCCCAGGCAGATGGTGTTGAATAAGCCCTCTTGGTGTTTGGTCGAGATGGTATCCCAGATAGCAATGAAGAAGGCGCTGATTCTCTCCATGGCGCTCGGCTGGATGCAGCCAGGGAACCCTCTCAGCTCACCAGCAAGTCCTGGGCTCACAAGGATGCAGGCTCGACTGCTTGTAATTTATTCTTCTTCCGGCTTTGGGCTTGGGCATGCCACCAATGGCACCTGAAGAGATTGAAAGAGACAATTCAAAAGAAATGCAGTGGGAATGGTCTACATTTTTAATAGCAGCATAGGCTTAGTAAAGGGGAAGGAATTGGAGATTTCCAGAGTTCACTAAAATTATATTGAGACTCAATAAACAAGATAAATGCATGTGCTTAGTCAATAAGCATCAACAAATTCTTGCTATGTACACACATTATATTGGACTTAGGATATAAAAATAACTAGTTCTATCAGGGGTGGCACGTAGGAGGTGCGCCTCAGTTGTTGGACAAGTGAATCAATGTGTGCGTTCAGTGTTCTGGTCAGGGCTGGCTGCCTGGCCCCCCAACAACAGCGGTTCTCAATCTTTTGTGCCCTGCAGCCCACCTGACAGGTGTTGAACACACACTCCCCGCAGGGAGTTCTGTATGTGACCTTCTCTTAGCATTTTCAAAGCCTGTTAAAGCTTAAGCTCAAGACGAAATGCCTGCGTGGTGCTGCCTGTCGTAGGACGTGGGTCTCCTCCGGTCGCGCATCAGTCCTCATGCTGGCTCACTCCCGCACGCGTCCTTCCCGTCCCTCCTGCCCCCTCCCTGCTCCACGCCTTCTCCCTCCTTACATCCCACTCCTGTGCCTGCGGGTCCTCTCCTCCTGGGAGGAGGAGGCTGGGGGGACCAGGGGGCCCCATTTGCTGGTTCTCCACTTTCTGCCTTCCTCTCCCTCATCACCTCGTGTCTGCCTTCCATCCCGCAAGCGGATACTCCCGAGTCTCCTTCCCTGCCTGCTCCCTTTCTTCTCCGTGGGAAAGGCCCTTGCAGGCTGCTTGGTGACGCGCCTGGAAACCGGGGTGGGGCTCCCGGGTGCCTCCTGCTCCCGTCCCGAGCGTGGCGTACAGCGGGGCTGTGCGGCTGCCTGTGCAGAGCGGCCCTCTTCCTTTGTCACCCTCCACCTCTCCACGCGTGGCGCAGGGCTTGGCGCTCAAGTGTGAGGTCTTAGAGGCTCTCCTCAGTTCTGGAATTGCAGGTGTTCGTGTCTGAACAAGACTTCAAGGACAGGCACGATTCGAAGAAATTTAAGAGACCTCTTGGTGTAAGACATTACCCCAAACCCAAAGATCAAGGAGTCACTGATTTTCAGGGTGGACACTTTACAGACCACCCTGACCAACTCTCTCACTTGACGATGAAGACTCTGAGGTCCACAGTGGCAAGGTGACATCTGAAGCCACCCAGAGCTGCCATGAACACCCAGACCTCTGGACAACGGGTCCAGCACTTTCCCAAGGCTGCCAGGCAAGTGGAGGAACTAAGGATGACAATGATGTCCCTTTATATTTGTATTTCACTTGATACATTTTAACTCACCTTTACATGAATTTTATCTTGTAAGTGAGGACAAGATGGTGCTATGTCTATGGAGAGCAGCCCTGGGGGCAGGGCCTGGGCCCAGAATTCAAGGCTGGCTCAGGCTTCATTCTGTTGCCCTGCCCTGGAGCATACATGTAGGGCCTCCTGGGTGCCGTGTTACACATGGTATCCCAAGGGTTGTCCCTGGAGGTCTAATTCCCTGGATAACATGTCCTATCAATGTCCTGTGTTCCCAGTGCCCATGTGCCCATCCAAGCCCCAGCTGGCCTCGGTCTCAGTCTGCTGGCATGTGGCCCCACCCCTTCATGACATTGTTTATACAGTTTTTGCAATTGTATAAATTGGCACCTACTGCTGTGCCATTTGGCCCATCGAGCCTGAAGTCATGCTCTAAGATGACAACAATAATTTTATCTATGTAATCCTAGCACTCTGGGAGGCCGAAGCAGACAGATTGCTTGAGGTCAGGAGTTTGAAACCAGCCTGAGCAAGAGAGAGACCCCATCTCTACTATAAATAGAAAGAAAATTAATTGGCCAACTAATATATATAGAAAAAATTAGCTGGGCATGGTGGCACATGCCTGTAGACCCAGCTACTTGGGAGGCTGAGGCAGGAGGATCGCTTGAGCCCAGCAGTTTGAGGTTGCTGTGAGCTAGGCTGACGCCACGGCACTCACTCTAGCCTGGGCAGCAAAGCGAGACTCTGTCTTAAAAAAAAAAGAAAAAAAAAAAAAGAGAAAGAAAAAAGAAAAAAAAATAATTTGATCTAACTTTTATTAAGCACTTCTTGTATGCCAGGCACTGTACAGGCACTTTACACCTATTAGCGCATTTAATCTTCATTACAGCCTTAGCAAGCAGGTAGTGTTATTCCCCCATCCTACTGCTGAAGAGACGGAGGCACAGGTCACAAGGTGAGTGGACGGGCTGGCCTTGCTCATTCTGGGGACTCTGGCTCTAGGTCCCCACGGGGTGAGCTGTTTATATGCACTGCTCTGTGGCCTCCCATTCCTTTGTGTGGAATTAACCCATTTTGGCAAGCAGCCCAGGACTTACGGAATGTTACAATACTTGGCCATTCCCCAGACTGGCTTAAATGCTTATCCTAGTCTATTGCAGAAAAGACCGCAAAGAGATTTACTTCCCATCGTTAGATACTTCTGAAATGCATGAAGATACATAAAATGAAAATCAAGTCCTGCCTCAGTGCAGGTTTACTGAAAGCATATGGATGCCTGAATTTAACGCACCACAAAGAAAAGTGCTCTGAGAAGTCCTGCGCCTCGCTGGAGGCTCTGGGCAAGCCCCGTGAGGGTCTGGAACATCCCATGGCGTGGACCTGCCCACATGCCATCAAGCCACCAGGCTCTCTGTGGAGAAAAGCAGCCCCTGGCTGCCAGGAGCCCCAGCCTTGCTGCTGTCACACCACGCGTCTTGCTTCTGGATTTTCCTGCTCCCTTTGCCATGGCCTTTGCTTTCGCCTCCGCCTGCGTGGCCGGCATTTTTGGCCTGTTTAGAGGGATCTTGCTGCTCTGTTGTGGGAAGACTCCAGGTGCTTTTCTCCAATTTGAGCCTACACTTAGCTTTCCTGACTCACATTGGACGACACCGCCACAGTCATTCACAAATGCTTCTGTGCCCGGGGTCGTGCTGGTCCCTGCGGGGGGCAGAAGGGCATCGGGGACCCTCCTGGGAGACAGAGGAAGGAGGTCGAGCCCTTGGAGAGTATTAGGGCAGATTTCATGTAGGTGGAGCCACTTGAGGAGGACCTTGAAGATAAGTAGGATTTTGACAGAGAGACGTGGGTGAAAAGGGTGGTTCAACATCCCGAAAAACTTCTAGAACAATAGGAGCAAGAGAACAGAGAGGCTTCCGGTGAGCCTGGGGCTCACATGGGAAAGGGGAGGGTGGGAAGGAAAGCTGGAGAAGCGGGCGTGGCCAGGTAGGAAGCTCATGTGCACTCGGACACATCACGGGGCTTGTGCCTATTTGGGGACTTTACAGCAGGAGAAAGCTGCGGTCAGAGCTGTCCTCCAGGAAAAGGTAACAAGATGAGAGAAGCTCTGGAAAATGTTCTAAGGAAGCTCTTCATCCATTTATCAAACATTCACTGAGCACCTAACATGTTGCATGCACTGCTAGGTGCTGAGAATACAGTAATGAATGACAAGGAGATGGTTTCTGACATTGTGGAGCCTGGTCCATTCCAGGGGAGTTATTATTATTGAAGGATCAAGTCATAAAAGACAAATATAATAAGCACATTCCAGCTTAGATTGCTTACTTGGCTGAAATAAAAGCATGCATTTGAATTATGTGTTTATCTCAACATCCCAGGCCCACCTACCCCTCCCAACCTTTGTCTTAAACTTGTCCATCCCATGGAACCTAAAATGGCCTTTGAATAAATTTTCTTTTCAAGCTAAAGCTAAGTCAATAATTCACTTCTGGATTCCTGAAGGTACTTATTTGAGTCTGCTCTACATACAGCCAAAGAGAATATTCATTAACATTTGGGAACCTGGTCTGGGGAAAAATTCGATTAAAAGGTATTCTTTATATTTTTTAATCTAAGAATTCTTTTCTAGGCCCCAGGTTACTTGCTGAGCTCTGCTAATCTATAGTGTTTCATTAGTATTTATGAGCCTTGCATTATTAGCATTTCCAGAAAACAATCAAATATCTCCTTGGTGGTATGAATTAAAAAGTTAGAGCTTCCATGGAATGTTTTGCAAAAGAAGCCACACTCGGGGCCCTTGGAATGCACTCTGGGAGACCCTTTCCTTTTGTTGGCTTTCATATTGCTGACACTGTTTGAAAAGTAATTCATCTATTCTTGTAAAACCAACAATAGGTGCCAACCAACCTCATTTGTTTGATTGTGATTGTGGGGGTGGGTATGTGGAGAGAGAAGAGGAGGAAAGTTACTTTTAATTTCTTTGAAACCAAATATTATTAATATTATTTGAGACAGAGTCTTGCCCTGTTGCCAGGGCTAGAGTGCAGTGCTGTCTGCATGGCTCACAGCAACCTCAAACTCCTGGGCAGAGTGATCTTCCTGCCTCAGCCTCCTCAATAGCTGGGACTACAGGCATGCGCCACCATGCCCAGCTAATTTTTCTAATTTTAGTAAAGACAGGCTCTCACTCTTGCTCAGGCTGGTCTCGAACTCCTGAGCTCAAGTGATCCTCCTGCCTCAGGCTCCCAGAGTGCTAGGATTACAGGTGTGAGCCACTGTGCCCGGCTGAAACCAAGTATTATTTATCTGTATACGATTTGTAGTATCTAGCTGAGGAGAGAGAGTCATTCATTCATTCTTTTGCCATAAGCTTCTATCTGCTCATGTATGAGGTGTTGATGGGAAACAGTGATCTGGAGCCAGATGACCTGGGTTTGAGCACTGGGTCGACCCACCTGACCTTGGCGAGTTCCCAACCTCAGCTACAAAATGAAGCTAAATAAGCTTCCTTCATAATGCTGTTGTGAGCATTTAAAGGGCTCAATAACTTAATGCATTTGGTATACTGTAAAATACTATACACGCACAATGGATACAATAGCGTCATCTCCAAATAACAATGGACTAATTCTAGCCTTGAGCTATTCCTCCCCATCCCTCACCTCCAAGCCCAATCTTCCTTGCCAAAGA